CTCTGTACAAAAGAGAAGTGACAGACCCTGGGGTGTAAGACCATACACTGCTCAACATGGCTGCAAGAAAAAGGGCTGTTGTTTTGCCTTCAGGTGTAATGATAAGGATAGAGTAGAACTGAGGGGTGGGGTGTTTGGGCTGGGTCTGTGTGGGCTCCCCCCCACCAAGTCCTTAGTTGTATTTCCCTTTATCTTGATATCCTTGCCCACACGAATGACGAGACCTCGGCATAATGCTTTACTTTCTACTTTAAGCTCTTTCATGTTCAAATAAAACACTGTCGGCAAGAATCTCAAGAAGGCTCTCTTAAAAAGGTGACAGATGAACTTCAATGTGAATAAGGTAATTCATCAATTGCAAAATCTACGCCATACCTCCATGATGGCAAACACAGAATTGGTAGTTAAAAATCAGGAAAGATATTTTCAAGTTGTCGCTGAGAGTCCTCTGACACCATTGGCTTAGTGTGCAGCAGCAGCCAAAACGGATGACAACATTGGGTGTCAATAGGAAGCTTACTAAGAACAGACAAAAGGGGTTTATTGCCACTGCGAAACCTTGGTGTGGAGCTGGTCTCTACACCTCAAGAATGGATGTAGAGAGTTTAAAGAAGGTCTGTAGAGAAGTTAAAGGGCAACTAAAATGATCAGTGGTCTTGAGCAGTGCCTGTTGTGAGAGGCTGTTTTAGAGAAAAGGCTGAGGGAGGTGTTATGATGCAAGTTTCAGAATCATGACTGAAGAACTGCTGTTCGCCAGTTGTTTCTGCATTACTAGAATTTGGGGCCAATTCCTGAAACAAGTAGGAGATTAGTTTAAAACAAGTAACGGAATTTCTGGAATTCAGCTTCTTGTGGCAGTAGCTGTGGAGGTAGACAGCAAATAAATAAAAAAAAAATCAGTCATCAACAACTAGTCTATAAATGGATGCTGAACAGCTAGGGAAGAAATGCACTCTTGTATCTGCTGCAACAATTTCTGGACAAGTGAGTGGGGGGCTTGGGAATATGAAGGGAATGGATTGCAAAAATTAGTCATATTCACATGCCTTCCCTTAAAAACAAAACCACATGAAAGTTCTATTTGCCACTGTTGGAGACAGACTATTAGGCTGATGGACCATTGCCCTGAGCCAGTAGGACACTACTTATGTTCCCATCCTGAAAAGAGATGTTGCTTTTTCTATTAGAAGTGCAGAGCCTCACTTGCTACACGGCAGTTATGTGAGAGTACAAAAATTCATTTTAAGAAACCTCTATTTTAGAGGCTTAAGCTGGCATTAGCCACTGGGATCTAATTGAATTGGAGTGCGTTCTGTCTACAAGTTGTTCCAAGTGCATTGAGAAGCCTTACAAAGCCTTTCTGCTGCAACAGAAATTGCAGATAATCAGGCTCCTTCAGAAATGCTTCTGAACAAATATTAGATATAGAAGTATCTTCAACTCTGAAACGACACAAAACTGAAAATAGTGTACAGCTGTTCCCAACTTATTCTGTTGGATATGTTTAATTTCTTAATGAAGATTAGTTGCTGTCATCAATGTTAATGTTTAAAAAAAAAATTAAGGTGCAAATCAGATTCTACCTTCAATTGGAAAACAACTTGTTTTAAGTATTTTCAAGATTAAAGTGGCAGATTTCTAATTGTAAAATAAAAGTAACGTTCTGTTGAAAGCTAGGTTTTGTGAGAAATTACTGACATTTAATGTAAAGACACTTGGAATGACAGCATTTACATTTTTAAGTGCAGTAATTTTGGCAGGTACAAAGTATTTAAGTTTCTCAAACTCGGAATGGCTGCCATGAGAACATAATATGCTTTCCACACATCTCACTGAATTGTAATCTGTCTTTCGGGTTGGAAGGAACCCTGGGAGGCCTCTAGGCCAACGGCCTGCTCAAAAGAGGATCAACGCTGAATTCAAAGCAGGTTGCTTAGGGCTTTGTCAGTTGAGTGTTGAAACCCACTGGGGCTGGAGAGTACACAGTCTCTGAACAATCTGTTCCAATTCCTTACTGGTCTTGTAGCACTTACTTTCCCTTCATGTTCAGACACAACCTTGTGTTTTGTGTTATGATCAATGCCTCTCTTTCCACCATGCTTTTCAGTAAAGAACCAGTTCCCTGTTATTTTAAAGCATAAGCACTTGCCCCTTAACTTCTTGGTGCCTCTCCACTGATCTACTCATGAATATCTTGTACCAAGGAAGGAGGGAGACAGTAAGTGCAGAGTAGGACAGATGCAGTCTTAACAGGTGCCAGATAAGAATGGGTTCCCATGATGCATTGGCTGTGCCCTTGTCAACACAGCCTAGTATGCTGTTAGCCTTTGTCGCTGCTGGGGGCCACTGCTGATTCACGTTGAGCCTCTGGTTGGTCAGGACCCCCATGTCCTCTTCAGCAGTGTTGCTATCCAGCCTGTCGACCCCCATAATACAAACAAGTTCTGTGCTACAGTGTTTGTCTGTGTTTCTGGCTGAGGCAGGAGTTTTTCAAGCAGACAGAAGTTATGGAACTTTATGACCGTTGATAGACTTGTCACATATATTCTCTTCCTAGTAGTCTGGTTCCCCTTGGATGTGAGGAGTACTTGAGGAAAAAGGGCAGGCAAGCATAAAGTGCAGGTCAAAAGTAGTGTTCCTGCAAGGTTACAGATTGTGCATCCTTTTGTTAGAATTACAAAAGATAACAACGCACTGTTTTCGCAGACTCATGCATCCTTTTGTTAGAATTACAAAAGATAACGCACTGTTTTCGCGGACTCGCTTCAGGAACTGGCAAAGGCTGTGTCTATTCGTGACTTCTTCACCAACAGCGTTTTTCCACAGACTCTCATTTGGTGTTTGGAAAGGCTACTGCCTAAAACCGTGAAGCCATGATTTTGTCATGTTACCTAAATACATTCATCTAAAGGTATCATGTGTTGACGTCTTCAGGAAAACAGTTGAGGTCATTGGCTTGGCTTTCTGAATGCTCAAAACAACTAACACTGACTATCAGCTTTATAATTTCAGGTGAACCAGTGGCTTAACTGTGCAGACCTAAAAGCATATAATTTCTTACTCTAATATGAAATTTGTAGTCACTTGTACAGTGGAGCTTTTTTGCTGTGGTGAGGGTGGAGAGAAATTGTTGGGTTTCGTTTTGTTTTTCTGTGTTTTATTTTCTTAGTGACTAAAATTGATAGCTGTTTTGGAAACTTCATGTGGCAGCTACTCTGATCATATTGCAGGATATTTTTAGGGATAATATTTCTAAATAAGAATCTCTGTATCAGGCTTTCTGTACCTAGGTATATAAGCTAGTAAAACTTATTTATTCCAGATACATGTTACTGTCCAGTATCTGTTATTTGGCATAAGCAGATTTCGCTAATATCACGAATTACGCTGTGCAAGTGTGGAACTTTTTGTTTCGCTTGCCTTTATGCAAGCAAGTCCTCATGAAACAACTGCAGCCTATGTGTATCTGAAGAAAACGCAAAAAAAACTAGTATGTGTAGTTACAACCAAGGTTTAGGTCTACAGCACGTACCCATATTCCTAACAGGGATGTTTTGATATACTTTAAAAGCTGGAGCTTTTACATGCTGTTAACAACCAACTTGATGGCTTCTCGCATGATTACTACTCTTGCGATCTTTTTTCAAGCCCTTTTTTATTCTCGTCTTTTGCACAAGCCCACGGTAAGTACAGAGAGTCCTTCTTCCCCAAATGGGCAGGTAAAATCTTCTATTGGTGTCAATAGCAAGAAGCTACATGCACTTTTTATTTATCACAGTGAATATTGCATCAGAGTTCTGAAACATCAAATAGATTTGTGTAAAGAAGCTCTTCAGGCTTTTTCTTCTTTCTGTTTTCCAGGTCTGTTACTGTGAAAAGTCGCTTATAAAATGGCACTTGGTGCATCTTCCTTTTTAAGCTTCTAGAGTGACATAAGGAAGTTTCTGTAATGCATTTTTAATATTTTTCTGCATCCCTAGGATTTTTTTATCTTAAGACTTGTAGACTGTCAAACTGACCCTGAGGTAGCTGCTACTATAAGCTAGTAAAAGTGAAATTCTAAAAAAAAAAACCCAACAAACACCAACACCAAAAACCCCACAAAAAAACACCACCTCAGGAATGTCTTCCATGAGTTGGTTATTTTTGCTGAATTAACAGAGGACTTGCCAGACTCCAGAGCTTTAGGTTTTACTTTTGAATAGCTTGAATGCATGATTGTAATAGTTTCACTCCACAGTGCGTTTTGAATTAAAATATTATCGTATCTGTCCGTGGTCTGACAATCTTTTTTGTCTTGTTTGATGTTCTCTTAAAATTGAAACTGCAATCTTATTTATACTGTACAAAGAGAAGTTTCTCTCATACTTCTTGATCTGAAATCTTATTGGATCTGAACTAGATAATGAAAAGACACTCGATCTTGCAGTGTAGACAGAACTAAGCATGTTCTCTGGGGTTTTTGTGGCTGTGGGAAACTGGCAGTATTCAGCTGGGACCCTGCTCTTTGGGATTGGGGGAGGCTTTTCTCAAGTGAGAAGTTAGGTGATAAGGGAAAGAATGGAGCTGTAAAAGTCAGATGTGAAGGCCAAAAGTGCTGTCAAAACAGGCCACTCTAGAAAATGAACTATAAACTGGCGTAGTGGGGATATTAAAGATGGGGTAAATAGCCTGGAGGAATCTGTCACTAGTGATTCTAGGTACTTTGATTAAGCCTTAAAACTGAAATATTCTGGGGGTGGAAGGAGAATTTTGGAAAATTCCAAGTACTATTTAAGTTGTTATTTCAAGGTCTCCGCTTGGGCAGCCAGAAGTGAAAAGTCACTTTGTCCTGATTCCAGATAAGTTTTGAAGTGATCATCAAATATGCTACTTCTAGATCTAGCATTTCATTTAATCCATAAGAGTTCAATGAGACACTTCTTAGAAATGTGCTTGGGTTTTTTTTACTGCTGGACTCTTAGCTCTGATTAACTGTTAACTACCGCTTTTTCTAACAGATCAAATGTCTAAAAGGCCAGAGAGACTTCTTAGACCAACCCACTTTTGATGGGATTCACATTGTCAACCATTTCACAGGAGATGATGAATCATTTCATTCTTCTGATGAAGATTTTATAACTAACTCCATACAGGAGAGTGGGGTGAACTTTCATCTACACAGGAGGACTGGTCAGATGGCTTTGGATCACACAGTTGTAGACAGCAGTGACAGTGATACTGAGGAAAGTGCTCTTCAGACTGGGAATTCGGACAAGATGGTTTCCACGCAGAGAAGAATGGAATCTTACTCCACTACTGTGTGATTATCACTGTGACTGGCATTGAAGACTTTCATGTTTCTTTAAGGGTGAAATTGTCAGGTAACTGAAACTATCTAGCAGTTGGTTTAGGTAACTATGGGATGTGGTCTGGCCTGTGATAAATATATACACGTACTGTCTATCTGCCTTCTCTCTTTGCCAAATCTTGCTAATGCCATGCCATTGCCATAAACAGGCTGGGAAGAAGTTGATGGATGACAGTTCTGACAGTATTACTGAATGTTCCTTGGTTTAGAAACTGCAAATATATCATTTCTTTGATGCAGAAGAACAGTTTTTGCTGTTCACAAACACAGGAATTTTTTTCCTCAAAAGAAATTGCTCTTGTGCAATATTTTACGCTCTGAACAAACGTGTGTATGTTTTACATTGTTACCCATTTGTGATCAAGATGGACCCTAGTTAACCATCTGATCATGACACATATATATAACTATCTTATGCTTCTCGATTACTTTTGTTTTTACTAAAGTTATTGGATGCCCACAGAAGGCTTGAAAGAGGAGCCTTTATCTGTACTACTTCATATATTCAAATAATGGTCACTAATGTCATAAAGGTGTTTTTCACCATTTTCACTTAAATCTATGTGCATCTGCTTTTGATGTTGCTAAATAATACCTGGTCTGAATATATTAATTACAATAATGTTTATTTTGTACATATTTATATATCTACACCAAGCTGAAAATGTACATTACACCATTTTATATGAGGAATGTAAATGTTGCAATATTACTGTCTCTGGTATTCTAACAGGAAAATGAATTCTGTATATACACACTAGAAATGAATTACTAAATAAAGGCAAAACACTAACTTCACATTGTTTCAGCCTAGCTACACTAACAGGTTCATGTTGGAAATGCTTGTTCAAAACACTATTGACTGAAATATTTTACCTTCATATATATGTAATGAAAATAAATTTTTCATGATTTAACAAGGTTGCAGCATTTAGTGTTTAGTCACTTCTCAGCTACAGCCTTTGGTTACCACACAGTTACGTTGCTGGCTCTAGATTAGAGTGGTAGTTCAAATAAGGTGAAAAATTATTTGTCTTATAGTTAGTTCTAATGAAGGCATGGTCAGTGCAGTAAAAACATGTAAATTCAGTCATCTTACAGTTTTATATTGCAGCGGTATCCAGGAAATTAGCTATTGGTCCTGTCACCAAGTACTGACAAAGCAGTAGGAGCTGAGCGTTCTGCTTTCACACTTTACTGAAAATTGAGATCCAGTACAATGGCCCCAGCTTCTTGAACAGAACAAGATATTCTACTGTGTCCTGTGAACGCTCAGTTGCCCTCTCAGACACATTCTAGTCAAGAATATAATATTCTTAATAGCAGGTATTATTGCTATCTTATGTAATTGAACAATCCTTAAGACTTCTTTTCTAGTAATGTTTGCAACTATTCCATTAATAAAATAAAAAATAAGACATGCACTAGTCAGCACCTATGTTAACTGTCTTGCCACCTATGAGAAGCAGTGTAGTTGTTTAAAATTGCGAGGAGCATGGAAGCATAATGCTGAACACATCTACTAGTCCTGTTCGGCATTTCCTTTGAACGTGTCCTCAGAAACAGCATAACTGAGGAGATGACAAATGTTTGAAGAATGATGGGGAAGGCTGCATGGAAGAAGCACATTCTGGGCCTCTCAACAGTATTATCTGTCCAGGCGCAATCTAATTTCAGTCTTAAAGAAGATAGGAGACAGATTCCAAGTTGCCAATTTCTGCAGCTCCTAAGTTGCTTCAGTGTTTCTGCGAAGTTTCCCCCCACCCTACCAGTGCATATGTAGTTCTCGGTGTAGCCTGTGGAACTTGCCATCTGTGAGGCGGACGAGCTGTGACCGATTCTGATCCCTGTTGGAAATTTCATGTGTGCGAAAACCAAATCAAGAGCACTTCTGTTCACCAACAGTTGCCTTTTTTTTCCCTCCAATAAGCATGTGGTAACTTACATTTGCACCTGGATAATTGTTGCCCAGGAGGATAGGTGACAAATGTCTTGTTGCCTGTCAGCAATACCAGCTGCAAGTCTCTTTTAAAGGTAACAATCTGTAGTAAGTGGCAGGAGCAAAATTCAGTTAGAGAGCCATAAAAATCCTGTCTGTTTGAACAATGAAGTGTTATGATTTTGCAATAACTGCCTTACTGTTCAAGTGATAGCAAATGAGATTAGTTGGCAAGGGCTATTTCCTGAACTTTTGTGGTCTTAAAGGATACTAATATAATAAATACTGACACAACAGCATAAATAAAAATATCAAGGGAAAAGCAAAAGTCATCCAGCCAACTGCATCTCTTCTAGTGATGAAGGTGAATCACTGAACATACCTAAATTGGAGAGAGAACAGATTTGATGGGTGGTTGCATCCAGAGGGTAGTTGTCAATGGCTTGCTGTCCTGATAGAGATCCCTCAGGGGTCTGTACTGGGACCAGTGCTATTTAGTATCTTCGCAATGACATAGACAGTGGGATTGAGCGCACCCTCAGCAAGTTTGCAGATGACACCAAGCCAAGTGGTACCGTCAACACGCCTGAGGGATGGGATGTCATCCAGAGGGACCTGGACAAGCTTGAGAAGTGGGTACCTGTGCACCTCATGAGGCTCAACAAGGCCAAGTGCAAGGTCCTGCATCTGGGTCGGGGCGATGTCTGGTATCAGTACAAGCTGGGGGATGAAGAGATCCAGAGCAGCCCTGCTGAGAAGGACTTGGGGGTGCTGGGGGATGAAAAGCTGGAGGTAGCAATGTGCAGTTGCAGCCCAGAAGGCCAACTGTATCCTGGGCTGCATCAAAAGAAGCGTGGCCAGCAGGTCAAGGGAGGTGATTGTTCTCCTCTACTCCACTCTGGTGAGACCCCACCTGCAGTGCTGTGTTCAGCTCTGGAGTCCTCAGCACAGGAAAGACATGGACCTATTGGAGCGAGTCCAGATGAGGGTCACAAAAATGCTCAGGGGGCTGGAGCACCTCCCCTGTGAGGACAGGCTGACAGAGTTGGGGTTGTTCAGGCTGGAGAAGAGAAGGCCCTGGAGAGACCTTAGAGCGGCCTTCCGGGACTTAAAGGGGGCCTACAAGAAAGATGGGGACAACCTTTTTAGCAGGGCTGTTAGGATAGCACACGGAGTAAAGGTTTTAAACTAAAAAGAAGGTAGATTCAGACTAGATAGAAGCAAGAATTTTTTCAAATGAGGATGGTGAAACACTGGCACAGGCTGCCCAGAGAGATGGTAGAAGCCCCATCTCTGGAAAAATTCAAGATCAGGCTGGATGGGGCTCTGAGCAACCTGATCCAGCTAAAGATGTCCCTGCTCACTGCAGGGGGGTTGGACTAGACAACCTTTAAAGGTCCCTCCCAACCCAAACTATTCTATGATGCTATGACATGCCGCCATTTCAGAAGACTTGGTTATGCCCCGAATACCCTAGGAAGACAACCCAAGAGAGGCTGTTCAGAATCATCCTGCTTTTTCTGCAACTATTCTGCCAAAGAAATGACACTAATCTCTTTGCCTATGTGTATTATAATTCAAATATGCACCAGAATGTCAAATCATCAACAGCATAGATAATATATTTACTAACGTGTCAATATATAAAGCACACTAATTATGCTACACACCATGACCCTGCTTGCATGACCTACTAACAAACATTGCCATTCTCTTAGATTTGCTCTGTAGGCAGGCAGTAAGAGCTCAATGTGAATGCTAAAAACATAAGCTAAAAAGCACGTAAACGTGAAAACCTAAGATTCTTGAATATAGAAGTGCTGCAGCTGAGGAGACTGTGAGGTGAAACAGGGAAGGGAGATGTCCTGCTATATACAGAGTTTCCATGTAAATTACATTTTATGTTTGGTAGTGAAAATGGTTCTGCTTTCCCAATCTGATAATCAAATGTCTTCACTACCTAGAGAAGCCTCAATATTTAAATTTTCTTATTTCTACAGGCTAACGGAGTGAATATTTTAGGACCTAATAGCATCTATGATTAGACCTCCTCTTACTTAAGTCACTTCATTTCACGTATTAGATCAGACGTCTGTAACATTTGTGAAAAATTGGGAACATGACTAGTTGGGAGAAAGAACATCTGTGAAGTTAAGCAGCATGTATTACATTCATGGCTCAACAACTATTTGGTCACATTTTTGACAAAAAGTTTTTGACACAATTCAATTTTCAACTGTATGTGCAATTTCCTGTATTATTTTATCTAAAATAAATTGCTATTAAAGTGATTAAAAGAAGTATCCACATAGGGGTTTGCATAAATTTAACAAAACCACTTTGGAAATCTTGTACTATTGAACTTAATCAGTACTCAGCCCTTTCGTGGAACTGCAACACAGAAGGAATTGCGTGTTTCTCTGGGGTTTTTAATGTAATCACTGTTCTGTATCAGAGACTATGCAAGTGACTGTGAAACTTGATGCTCATCCAACATTTATATTTTAAGCTAGAATGACCTAAAGATACATTAGCATAAAAATATCCACACTTTAGACTGGATGTGCTGCTAATTCCCTTACCTGTAGAGGCTCCAAATACTAATTTTGGAGGAAGGCAGAGGATAATGCAAATCCCCTAGGAAAACCATTACGCTCGTCCTGGAGACTAAAATAAAAAGTCAACCTATAAAACAGAGGTTAGTACGATCGAAGTGGAAACTACAGTATTATGTTTGATGATGCACCAGCTACTGACTGAATGCGTATTGAGAGGGAAGAGGAAAGCTATGTATCAGCTAACAGCGTTTTGGATTTCATGAAGTTCCTTTTTTTCTGTGAAATGCTTTTATCAGTATAATTGTACAGGTAATATTTTTTGTAATTCCCTGAGGGTTTTGGTTGGTTGGTTGGTTTTTTTTTTTACAAACTAGCTCAAGACATAAGAAAAATCAGTGAAATACATTTACGCAGTAGCCCATAAAACCAGAGATTCTGAATGATGGAATGAAAAGCACACGGTAAATTAACTTTCAACATAACCTCTATATACCATCAGCTTCAGCGCGGAGAAAACATGCTAACATATGCATGCCTACGCATACATGGACACTCGCTGACTCAGATACAACCGCTAGATCCAAGATACAACAGCTTAACACCCTCCCTTCCCAGGAATTAATACCTCATTTCACAATTACGAAAAACAAAAGCAATGTGGCATACTCCTAGAATTGTATACTCTTGCATAAGTGACTGAAATTTCTAGCGTCCTGCTATGAGAACTAAAATTCCTGAGGCCATTTTGCATAGTCTACATTCTGTAACCCATCGCTTCAACTTTCTTCTATTCATAATGGAGGTAAATTCTGGGTCCATTCCTTCCCAAAGCTGGAATCCCTCTTTTCATCCCAGCCTTCAACACCACGGCCTACTGTCACTTTCCCTCTCCAGTTCATGCTCATGGTGATCATTACATTTCCAATCTGCTCTGAGAGCAGCAGAAGTTACTTCGGTTTCCCCCGCGATCAAAAAAAATTGCTATCAAAATCACTGATTAATGTCTCACATTTACAGCACATGTTTATGACACAAGGAGAAACATAAAGAAGGTAATGACAAGATGCTGGGGAAAAAAAAATAAACAAGCAGGATATGTTAAAAATAACTAAGTGTTTACAAAAAAGTTATAAAAAAAAGACACACTTTACAACAGAGTGCACAGTGCTACAAGGTCTAGCAGCTTCTCATATTGAAAGCGTTCAGGATTAACTGTGATCAGGATAACTTTAAAGTGTGTATGTTACTCATGAGTTCCCCACAGAATCACCCTCTTCGCTGCCTTCTCCCAATCCTGACTTCCACACCCAAGAAATTGCTTCTCCTCCCTTAGGTACCAAGCAGCTAACCTGTCAAATCCTGTTCTTCAAATCCTTCCTCCTGTTACAAAGCGTCTCATCGCTTCTGAACATGAAGATCTCAT